GATCTGGTCGGAGAAGTGAAGGGTGGTGGCTCGGAATGTGGGCGAGTCGAGAGCAGCCTCCTTTAGACCAACTGGACTTTACCGGAAGGGTTAGAAAGGAACCTATGCAGCGATTCGAAGAAGCAGAGCTAATTCAGAGGACTTACACGACGCTGACGAGCTTCCCGACCTGGGGTAATGGGATCTGCGGCTGAGTCGACATCTAGTGTATGTCACCAGCCATACACTTGATGCGAGCAGAAGTAGCGGCAAGACAAGGCAGCAATGAGGCCCCTAGTCAAGTCAAAGAATAATGATAGAAATGAAGCATCCGAAGAACTCAGGGATACAGGTGAAGGTGGGAAAGTAGCATGGCTAGTGGAGGAAGCTTACTAGGAGACAGAGCGCCTCTTGCTCGAGCCATCGGCGGATACAGGCCCGCGCATGATCTAATTGGCTACGTCAGTGGTTCCCTTTGACGGCCTTGGGTCCCCAGGCAACAAAGGGCCCTGTAGGGCGGTGAGCCCCGCCGACTTTTTTTTCTGCCGGCAACCGCTATTATTTTCTTTTGGGAGGCGCATTTGGTCGGAGATAACCACTTCCATCGATCGCTTTCCACATTCTAGTGATCTCCCGACAGCTGTGTCTGTTATTTCGAAATGGAGCCCCCAGCCAAGAGGTCGCGCAAGTTGCTCGATGACGACAGCTCCAGCGACTCAGGAGACGAGTCCGGCGGAGTTCCCATCACCAATGAGGACATCACGTTCAAGATCAACGAAGAGTATGCGCGCCGCTTCGAATACAACAAGAAGAGAGAAGAGAAGCAGCAATGTAAGACTCCATTCTTCTATAATCTGCATGTCGAGAGAAACTAAACTTTGTTCTACAAATAGTGGAGTCCAAATACGGAAAATCTGTCCTAGGCAAACGTCGCGATCGCGATGGTGAAGATGAGTCCGGCGACTCGGAGGATGATTCTACCTCTGAGGAAGAGGACGAGGATGGAGAATTGGCTACCGCCGCTCTGGATGCTGAGATTATGGCCACGCTGAACGCAATCCGATCAAAGGACCCTCGGGTGTATGATAGCAATGCCACTTTCTACACCGCAGCCGACGAGGAGGCGAAAACCGAAGGCTCTGGAAAGAAAGAAAAGCCTATGACCCTTCGTGATTATCATCGTGAGAATCTATTGAGCGGCGCCAACCTGGCAGATGAGGAGGCATCTGACGCGCCGAAGACCTACGCTCAGGAGCAGGAGGAATTGAAGGATGCGGTTGTCCGCGAAATGCACGCCGCTGCCGGTAAAGGTGATGAGAGTGAGGAGGATGACGAAGAAGATTTCCTTGTTGCCAAATCGGCGCCTGAACCTCTTCCGGAGCCCAAGAAGGATGTCAATCTGGATGTTGAGAATGCGGACAAAGACCCGGAAACCTTCCTTTCAAACTTCATGTCGGCAAGAGCATGGATCCCTGCTGGTAGATCGGAACTTCAACCATTCGAGTCGGATGACGAAGAGGAGGATCAACGGGCCGAGGCATTCGAAGAAGCATACAACTTCCGCTTCGAAGACCCCAGCAAAATCAACGCTACTCTAATCACCCATTCTCGTGATCTGACCAACAAGCAGTCGGTTCGCAGAGAAGAAAAGAGCAGCCGGAAGAAGCGCAGAGATGCGGAGAGGCAGCAGATGGAAGAGGAGAAGAAGCAGCGCGAGACAGAAAAGAACCGCCTGCGGAAGCTCAAGATGGAAGAACTTCAAGAGAAGGTCAACCAAATCAAGGAGGTTGCTGGCCTTCGTGCCAATGAGATGACTGACGAAGATTGGGTCAGCTTCTTGGACGCTGCCTGGGATGACAAGAACTGGGAGGAGGAAATGCAGAAACGTTTCGGTGAAGACTACTACGCGGAGGGGGATAAGGAAGGAAGCGATGATGAGTCAGGGAAGAAGAAGAAGCATCCGAAGAAGCCTACGTGGGATGATGATATTGATATCAAGGATCTCGTGCCCGACTTCGAGGAAGAGGAGAAGCCCGCCGTGGATATCTCTGATGTCGAGATGGAGGATGATGAAGAGGGAAGTAACAAGAAGAGCAAGGCGCAGGAGAGACGAGACCAGAAGCGTGAAGCGCGCAAAGACCGCCTTCGTATCCAGGAGGCCGTGGATCGCAACTTGGACCTCGATATCAGCCTTCTTCCGGGTGCGACCAAGAAGAATTCTACTGGATTCCGCTACCGGGAGACATCGCCTCAGAGTTTTGGATTGACTGCACGGGATATCCTCATGGCCGATGACACCCATCTGAACCAGTTTGCGGGCTTGAAAAAGCTTGCATCGTTCCGTGACCCTGAGAAGAAGAGTCGGGATCAGAGGAAGCTGGGCAAGAAGGCCCGTCTAAGGCAATGGCGCAAGGATACCTTTGGTGACGAAGAAGGCCCCAGGATTTCCGAGGAGGCGCCACGGGCACCTACACCGGAGAAGGACAATGTCGGTAAGGTCGATATTCGTGAAGGTGAACCCAAGAAGAAGAGGAGAAAGAGAAACAAGAAGAACTGAACCTGGGGTGCTTCTTACTGTACATGCATCTGGGATTTATGATATACTAGACAGTGTTTTTCATTGTTCAATAACGGCGTATCGGTAATGAGAGCTGTCTACGTTGTTGGTAGATAAGCTGGTCAAAAGTTACAATATATTTACCTACTGCATAGCAAAGTGTTTATTGAGTCAAACGATCAGGTAGTTTATGTCAGTTCTCTTGATAGAACCGAGGTGCTCTTCTGTAGTACCATCATGTCAGGAACATGTGATCATTGGATATATGATAGTGTACTCTCGAATTGAATTCACTGATGCTATATATTTTCGCGAGGACCGAACCAAATAAACACAGTTCAGTCGACATACTAGTAACGATGAACTACCACTACAGTAGCAACTAGCCTTCATAAACAGCCAAATAACCAATCATGAACTCTCCAATAACATCAGCCCAACCAGCAAACTACGAATTGGAGTTTTGATTACACCTAAACCACACCCGAACAACCTCCCGTTGCTGGCACAACGGCGCAGATGAAAAGTGGTATCCCCCATGTTTTCTTAGCGGGTGGGTCCCGGATGAAAAGAGAACAGTTTGTCAGGTTTGCCCGCCCCGTCGAACAAACAGAAAATAGAATAAAAAATAAATAAAAATTAAAAAAAGGAGGAAGGGAAAGAAAGAAAGAAGAGAAAAAAAAAGAAAGACAGAAAGAGGAGGACCAAGGTGGAAAAATGAAACTAGTCACTTTCAAGCAGAAACAGTGGGTCCCGGCTGGGACAATTCCTGTTTGGGTAATGTAGGTCTCGTGTCTTCTTTGGCTGCATACGAAAAGATGATGCTGGCACTGGAATAGTGTGGAAGAACGTCGGGATCGGATAGATATACTGGTCGTATGTATATCTCCTGTATGAACTGGTACAGCATAGTTGTTCAGTTTTTTTGAAGAGTGGTGATAGTTGAATGAATAACCCCTTAGTACACTTATGAGACGACTACTTGCGATCTTCGGACACTAGGATGAGGGATAAAAAGGAGTACGGCCTGAGGTATATAACATAACCTCTAGCAACAAGCATATGCTACTGCTGTGCCCTTGCCTACGAAATGCAGCATAACCATGTAGTACTACTCATAGGGAACCAAGCTTGGATGATAAGAACTGATAGTATTTAACCGGGGAGAGTATGATAGAATACCAACTTATGGGATACTTCATATTACCGATGTTGTCCGTGTTTGCGATCGCTGCTCCCTTGGCCGCCCCCTTCTGTCTCTGTCTGTCTCTCGCTCTGTCTCCGTACCTGAGAACTTCCGCCCGGAGCAGAAAAACGGGGAAATCGCGGCATGTCAGCCGAAAGACGCCGCACGCACCTGATCAGTCCCGGTGGCGCGTAGGAAGGCCCAGAAACCATGGACTCCGTTTGGATGCTGCAGATAGATAAGTAGTAGCGTAGGTACTTAGGTGAGTAAATTTTTTTAAATTATTTTCGAGCAATTTCTGCAGAGACCGACGCAAATTGACAATTCCGTTCCTGCAATTGCCGTTGTGCACGAATAAGTCAAAGTACACAAGATGGAGGCCGAGAGGCAAGCGTTTGCCATCGGATATCCGGGACCAAATGGGAAGAAGGGGCGGTTCCCCATGGATGGAGCGCGAAGGTGTGGACTCTCCAAGAAAACGCTTTGGTTCGGTCAAGACGGGGAAATGGGAGAGGAATGGATGGGTATCTTACGAAGCCGAATTACGGAGAAAGGGCCCAAACATGTAAATTATGGTCTGTAGGTCAATCAGCAAAGGACCGAGCGGTGATTGCGAGTACACCGATCGGTAGACTACGGAAGGGATGAAAAAAGGACCAAGGGAAGAAATATCGAGAGCTACATGCCGTTTCAGAGGCTATTAGATTGATATATTTCAAAATATCATTCCGTAGGTATAATCGCTATAATGAAGGCTGAGATGAAGATGAAAGTGGCTTTTTCTTCCTCTTTGACCAGAAATTCACTCATAGTAACTAAAGGTATCAAAGGGTATTTCCCAATAATGTCAGCGGTCGGAGTTGGTTACTGGCGCGATCGGGAGATATCGGCTCTTCGTTGCCTGGGCCAGCATTAGCGCCGGGTCCAGTTTTTTTTTTTTTTTTTCTTGCATCTGTTTTTTTTTTCGTTCCCCCTAACAATGGGAGGGCCTCCCTACTCCGTACCGGGCCAACCAATCCGGCCAATGGAAACTGGGCCGGGGCGCCCATCGCCGCCGCTGCCACTGCAAATTCAGGCCAGCGAAAAACCCAAGAGCGTCCTAGCGTCTCCGCTCGCTTCTTCCCGCTTACAAGAGCCCTTCGCTCGCTATTTTTTCTTCCCTCCCTTCCCTTCCTCTCTTCCTTTTCTCTCCATCCCCTTTGAAGTGTCCTGTTTGACTGGCACTATCATCCATCTCCTCTCTTTCTTTCCTTAGTTTTCGTTATCACAGCCGTCAAAATGGCCAAGGGTGATGTTAACCAGGCCGACAAGACCGTCTTCGGCATGCCCGTAAGTTCCTACTTGTCCCATACGAACGGAAAGGCCAGGTTGTCGGATGTCGCGCTCTCGATGGAATCGGTTGAAATTGGTCTTTAATATCGAAGATCGAGTACTACATTCCTTCGAGACACGATGGTCGAACAATTTGGCCCGGTTCAATGGTGTTGTTGCCGGACTAGGTGGCTAATGAAAAATTTTCACAGGGATTCGTCGTCGACTTCCTGAGTATGTGCATTCCAGCTCCCCCCGAATGATCGATCCTCATACTACGATCGATCAATTCCTATCCAACGAGCAACACGAATTATTTGATCATGACCTGAATTTGATACTAACTACTGGTACAGTGGGTGGTGTCTCCGCTGCCGTCTCCAAGACTGCTGCCGCCCCCATCGAGCGTATCAAGCTCCTCATCCAGAACCAGGTTGGTTAAGCCTCAACACCAATGTCTCGCACTGCCGGAACGAAAATTGCTGGCACGATCTGCAATTGCGTCTTCGAAACGACATCTCTCCGACCGAAGATTGCCAATTCAGCCGGACGCAAAAATTTTCACTCCGGACAGTCCGGGCATGAGATCGACCCAAATAGATGCTAATACGATTGCCCTTCAGGATGAGATGCTTCGCGCTGGTCGTCTCGACCGCAAGTACAACGGTATCATGGACTGCTTCCGTCGTACCGCCGCCTCCGAGGGTGTTGTTTCCCTGTGGCGTGGTAACACTGCCAACGTTATCCGTTACTTCCCCACCCAGGCTCTTAACTTCGCCTTCCGTGACACCTACAAGTCCATGTTCTCCTACAAGAAGGAGCGTGATGGATACACCAAGTGGATGATGGGTAACCTTGCCTCCGGTGGTGTATGTATCCCTATATCCAGCTTAATACTCGAGCGATCACGCTAACAATTGCTTCAGGCTGCTGGTGCCACTTCCCTCCTCTTCGTCTACTCCCTCGACTACGCCCGTACCCGTCTTGCCAACGACGCCAAGTCCGCCAAGGGCGGTGGTGACCGTCAGTTCAACGGTCTCGTTGACGTCTACAAGAAGACCCTCGCCTCCGACGGTATTGCCGGTCTCTACCGTGGTTTCGGTCCCTCCGTTGCTGGTATCGTTGTCTACCGTGGTCTGTACTTCGGCATGTACGACTCCATCAAGCCCGTTGTCCTGGTTGGTCCTCTCGAGGGTAACTTCCTTGCCTCTTTCCTGCTCGGCTGGACTGTCACCACCGGTGCCGGTATCGCTTCCTACCCCCTGGACACCATCCGTCGTCGTATGATGATGACCTCCGGTGAGGCCGTCAAGTACAAGTCCTCCATGGATGCTGCTCGCCAGATCGTCGCCAAGGAGGGTGTCAAGTCTCTCTTCAAGGGTGCCGGTGCTAACATCCTCCGTGGTGTTGCCGGTGCTGGTGTCCTGTCTATCTACGACCAGGTCCAGCTCATCCTCTTCGGCAAGAAGTACAAGGGTGGCTCTGGCTAAGCGCTTGATTAATTTCAAGCTGTTTCAGTCATGATATCGGGGAAATGGGGTTGCCGGTGTCTTGGTGTAACTACCAGATGCCGGAGGTGCTGCGGAGGATAGAAATATGCGTCAAGAGTGATATCAATAATCTTGAGCATAGAATCGTGTGATATTTCCTCTTGTACCAGTTGTATTTTACTGCCCGCAAGCTTATTTCTTTTTTTCTTCCAACTGTACTTTCTCCACCTTGGGTATCAAAAACAGTATGTCCTGCCTTGGATCAAAATCTGTTCTTAGTCCGTAATGTAGATGCCATAGTTGCTGTAAAAATTTGCACCCTTCTAGTCACCTGACCCAATGGCAACGTCACGTGCAATATAGCTCCATGACGTCGATCCCTGCTCCAGCTTCATCCCATAGTTATAGCTTCCTCCCTCCCTTATAGTTCATACATCCCCTTAACCAATTCCACCTATATCCAAAATGACCAGTTCCTCCACCACAGATGAGGTCCCTCCCCGGACCTCCAGCCCAGCCGCCGCCCCTGACTCAGAGCCAGAGCCAGGACCAGAGCCAGAACCAGAGCAAGACACAACCCAACCCGCAACCACCTCCGCGACAGCAACCGCCCCAGCATACTCTCCCATCTACGCTACCGCAGAACCCAGCGACCTCCCAACCCAAGCAACCAATTCCCTGGACACCCAAGTGCCATTGACACCCGCAGCAGCCACTACCACCATTACAACTGCCACGGAAGACCCTCCAGCTACATCTACATCTACATCTACATCCCCACCACCACCCCAACCAGGCGCCCACCCTATCCCTCCCCCGACATCCTCCACTAACCACCCAGCTCCAACATCCACGTCAGACAATCATTCACCACCACCACCTGCACCAAAACCAGCCGACCCTCCTCTTCCACCAACCATCACACCCGCACCAGCACCAGCACCAGCACCAACACCCCCATCCAGCCACCCCCACCCCCAAACCTACAGCTACAGCTACAGCTACGGCAGCTACCGCCCACCAACCCAAACCAACCCCAACTCGACCACAACACCCTACGGCTCCCTGTACCAGCCTCCCACAACAGCTACCACGACGGCCACTACGACAGTGACTTCTGCGGGGGCGCAGCTGCCGCTGCATTATGAGCCGGATGCGTCGTCGTCGGGGAGGGTGGATTTGGGTGATGCGGAGGGTGGTGAAGATGGAGTGTGGGGGTGGATGAGGTGGGCGGGACGGAAGTTGGGGGAGGTGGAGGCGGAGGTGTGGAGGAGGATTAATGAGGTTCATGATCGGTGATTTATTCTTCTTTATTTATATATAGGGGTGTTGGTTGAGGTAGGGAGGATGTTGGGTAGGGTTGGTTTGGGGTGTGCACTATGTATGATGATATATCTTTTGGAATGGGTGGGCGTTGGTTTGGTTTGTTGGTTTGGCTGTTTTGAGTGTGTCTGATTAGGTTACTAGTATTTGCTGGGATGGGAAGGGAACGGTATAGGTTGTGCTCGGGGTTTGGGTTGGGATAAAAGGTGGGTGTATTGGGTTTGTAAACTATGTACTACGTAACTTGTTCTTATATTATTTGTGTTACTTAAATGTTGTGAGTGAGATAAACAATAGAGAATACTAAGTATTTGTTTCGAATGTATTATACCAATTTTAGTTATATACTACGAAACTCTACGGGTAAAGGCATGAGTATGTGATGACTATGTGGCCGAGACCAAGCATAGACCGTATATTTATTATCTCTATGTGTAAAAATATGTCCAATGCCTCACTCGGCAGACTCAAGCTATTAACACTGAGTCGTAAGAACCATATAAACAATATGGATTGAATGGATAGAAGTAGTCCATTGCAATTGCTGCCATGCAACAATCATATGTTCCAATAATTGCAAGAATGGAGAGTGGTCCGGGGTGCCAGTATGTGTGTTGAAACGCACCCCCAAGAACGCCTGATAGGCAACAAGTTCATCAACCTTGTACCAGGTCGATGTCATTATGTGAATGTTGTTTGAAGAAATGCCAAAACGCCGGGGTCATTCCCAGAACCCAAACCCAATGCATCGTCAGGATCGAACCAGTCGTATCGATAACGTCGTCCAGCTTGCTGGTGTATTCTTTGAACAAGAAAAGTAATCGTAGAACGTAAAAGTATGTATCAGGGAATAGGACCAGCCTCAAGTCTCAAAGAGACGTTGCAGGGTTGCAAGAACACAAGATGTTCTTGACAAACGCCTGCCAAAAGTATATATATGATTACATTGATCCGAGTCGGAGGAGCGCCTCGACTGCAGCACGCTCCTCGCGGTCACCCATGACACCCTCCGGGAGGGTAAAGCCGTGTTGTTGAACCGGTAATCTGCGCGGTGCAGACTTCGCCAGCGACGACGCAGCAGGTCCTCCGCCTCGCAGTTGTGGCGAGTTATGGGTCCCATTCACGAAGCCTCCCGAGGCGTTCAATGATCGTGCGCGAAGCGCATCAGCACCTATCTGTGCCCAATCTTCCTCATCTGTGATATCTTCTTCGCCCCAGTCTTCGTCCTGCATCTCGTCGTCCGGGGCCTCAGACGACGAGCAGTACTCGCGCTCGTTTCCGTCGAGTGACATCTTGTCAGCCTCATGTTCCAGCATGCTGATATCATGTCCACCGTAGTCCATCTCCGAGTAAGAGAAGACAGCGGAGTCGCCAGTAACGCTACTGCCATAGGGCTGAACGCTTCCCCGCTTCGTAGGGATCTGCATGCCCCGTTGCGGGAAAGAGTTGGAGATACTGGCGGGTGGCGACACGTTGAGGTGTTGCGCATCCCGTAAAGGCTCACCACGACGGCGAGCATCCCAGCGTCCCCAGCCGACCTTTTCGAAGATAACATCACCATCACGGCCGCCACTCTTGTCTTCGCTCCCTCGGCCTTCCAGCGCAGCGACCACCAGCCTGCGGGCTTTGGCAGGTGGGATGCCTGAGAAACCCGGCACACTGGTAGTCAAATAACCCATCAGGTGGCGAATAGCCAAAGGGCCATGTTGCAGCATAATTTCCGGGAGATGGCACTTGGCCAACATGCCCGGCGTGATAACCCCGGTGCTATCTAGATCATGAGCCGACGGACGAGCTTCATTCGAGTTGTTCGTATGATCGGCGGCATCTCCGAGCTCAACATCGGACTCCACATGCGAGGAGCTCAGCGGGGAGTATCCAGGGTGATTAGCGCCCTGGCGTCTGAAGCCCTGCGGAGGCAAAGTGGGGGAAATGGAGTTGGGCGGAGTAGGCAACATGGCAGGATGCCCCGGACGAGCGGAGTCACGACCGCCCGGGGTGAAACCGGAGCGTGGCTTGGGGATATCGACAGAGGCCGTCTTGCCAGCAAGGGCCATAGCAATGCTGGAGGTGGTATTCATGAAAGCCATGGTGATGATCGAGACCAACAAGAGGATCTAGATACTTTCTTTTATTTGGGGGGGACCTGAGGGTGGCTAATCTGCTTATCAAATGAGTCAGAGGACCATCCGCCAATCATTGCATGAGGCCAACCAATGGAACAGATGACTAAGTCCCACACTCAGAAGGACAATTGGGAAGTATAAGATTCACGCGTTTGGAGGCAAAAAGGAACAATAAGGAACGAAAACCAAAAATTGAGCTCAAAGGAATTTGGTTGGAATTTTTTCTTTGAGGGTTTGGTACTCACAGTGCACTGTTCGCAAAGGTAGATCACAGTCGGGACAGCTGTGCAGACGCAACGCTGAGGCGTAGTATGCAGGGTAGATGCGATGCGACGCGCTAACTCAGCGTACTACTGGGCAGGAGAGTTGATAGGAAGGATGACGCGACAGGTCGAGACAAGCAGAACCAGGATGATCGAGCCAACAAGAACCAGGGGGGGAGGTCAGAAAGCCTTGGGGAAGTTCTTTGATGAGGAATAGGATGAGAGGAGAGAAAGGAGATTTGGCAAGTAGAAGGAGGAAATGAGACGGAGAGGAGAAGGAGGGGGGTAAACGCAAGGAGTGGTGGTTGCAGTCCGTCAATAGTAGTAAGAATAGCAATAATGGAATGTCTGTCAGCCGGGAAGGAGGCGCCTTCTTTCGGGGCAAAAATAAAAAGGGAATTAAGTAGGTGTGTGTGTATTATTGATTGAAAATAAGATAAAACAAAATAAAATAAAATAACTCAGTAGATGCCAGGTTTGAAAGGTACGGTATTTTGTTCTTTTTTTGAAAAAAGATCCCTGGCAAAAAGGAGTTAAATTAAATTGATCTGATTGATGATGAACCCCCTCTCTCCGGTGAGATACACAGTAAACTAAGTAGATAATTAGTGTGGGATGACGACCTCCTTTAAGGATGGAACTGCCTGGTATGTCCGAGTCTCCAGTACGACCCTCTTATCATCGACATCTTTCCCATAAAGTTCCCCTTATCCATCCTGTCAGACCCAGAACCTCCTTCTTACCGACGCAAGCAGTCCGCCGTACCAGCCCGTGGCCCGGCTGATTGGTTGCCAGCCTCAGGCCCGCCGTAGACAGCGCCGGGAGCTTCCGGGGGCAATCGGCCCTGATTTCAATCCTCGCGTTATCTTACCGTATTTTGTAAATTTCCACATACACGCACACACACACACACACACACCGGCTTATCACTCACACTTTCCATACCGAGAAAGTAGATAGTAACTCTGTAGATACTACTTATTGCAGAAAGCCACTCCATTCTTGGGCTCATATTTTTTATCTTTACAAACTAATTAATATGATTATCCCCATACCCCCCCCTCCATCCTAGATGCTTTCGTCATTAATTTCACACAGACTACAAAGAGTAAGTCGGTGACGAAGCCTGTGATACCCGCCCCAAAACCCAACCGACCACAAGTTGGTTGAATTTCACCACACCCCCCCAATGAGGTAATTTCAATAGGACGTATACTACAACCACCACCTCCACTTCCTTGGTTTTAAAGAGTAGTAGACGGAAAAGCAAACGTTTCCACTTGATTCCATCGAGCATATCAAGGCTGGTGCCTCGTGCCCGTGCGCCCCCTCCCCGCGTCTAGGAGGGTTGTTTGCAGGGTTCTTACCCTACAACTGGATTATCCTTCATGGATTTTTGTGGTACGCGATAACCTTCCATGATGACGGCACGTGGGCTGTCGGGCACCGCACATGCGCAGGTGGACGCTGTGGTGACTGGCTGTGCATCCCACCCTTCATCCAACCCCCATGGAGAGTTTCTTTCTTGCAGAAGCCTAATAAATGTGTATTGAAAAAAAGTGTAGAAATGTGGATTGTTCCTTGTGTGCGGGATTCATGGGTAGGAACTGGGCATTTTAGGTTGCACCGGAGCTTGCTCTCAATTTTTTGGGTTGGCAACAACAACGTGATTCTAGAGAGGCATTTAATTGATTGACTAGCGAGAATCCTCTACTGCGTATCTACTTCATCTGATGGACCCATTAGATGCGTTCCCAATATTCCCGTCATTGCATCATATACTTTTTGCTAGATATGTCGACGTTCATTAGATTGCCTGTCTGCTTTTTGCTCATGCAGCAGGCTTGCATCGAATAGTACGGGGGTGTCATGTCCTCATCGGCCATATCAGGCTGGTTGGGATGTCGGTTGGGGGAAATGGACAATCGCTCACTGGCTGAGACGGGCTCGTGATATCTATGCATCTCCGCTCGGGCCTTTTTTTCTCCTTTGCTTTTTCTACTCTGGTTCTAATGTCGTTTTGCTTGTGCCGCATGCGATCAACATTCGCCCCCACCAATCGTACTAGAATGAGGAGTTGACGGGGGATGGTTCTCCGTTCGTTGACGATGATTATAAACTGAGGTGTCGTTACACGTTGACTTCAAATTGTCGGGGTGGATAACATTATTAAATAGTGGTGTATCAGGATGCTCGATCTACTATTCAATAGAGTAAGTATCTACTGCAGAGTGGGTATGTTATTTATATCCTTAGAAGTGGATTCAATAAACTAGAGGCTAAACGTAGACTATTTCCAGCAACGCCGCATCTAAATAAATAGTGGTGGTCTATTATTGTCATTTCCCCCTAAACAATAGGGACTGTTATGATCTATCACCTTTATGCAGATTGGTTGGGAATTCGATGGAACTTTCGATTGAACATCCTATTTTCACGACTAGAAGGAAAAGGCAGCCTGAGACCCATAGTTGAAAAGCAATATACGGGATCTACATGTTCCATACGATCTACCGCAGCCGCAGCCACAGACTACAACCATAAACTGTGGCGAATCTGTACCACTTTTATAGCCAGGCCATTACCATAGCCAAATATATAGACTACCAAAATTACAACTTGCAACACAATGTAACTTCATAAATATAGACGTCGGGCAGCCGGATAGTATATTAGGGGTGATTGATCGATGCCCAATGTAATGTTATCCGGGTGCTACGATTCGTTCTGATACCACCACTGAGCCACTGAGCCACTGAGCACTCATGGAACTTATAAGCTCATACAAACTCCTGTCGTCCATATGACCTTGTAGTGCACTTGCATGTTTGACAATCGTACAGATGAAGGAATCGGACCGCAACACTTTTTGATTATATTTTTATGGGTGCATCTTACTGCTAGGGTCACAAGGGATCCAAGCATCATGCACCTACTTTTCTCGAACCTTTCTAGTGCCTAAGAGATAACACATCTGGGGCCTATAGGCGTTTCCACATACAATGCTAACCGTGGTGCTTTGACAGATTTTTAGTGTCTGGTAGTCCAACCATGTAAGACCTTTCATTTCTGCAACCCAATGTCCCTCACTCCACAGGATTGAGAGAGTCATGCTCCTATTGTTATCCAAGCCCAATCGATCAAGATATGTGCGAGCTTAGTTGACCCATGAAAATTCTGAGCTAAGGGAGGTCAGTATATGACCATGCAGAACCAATGTATACCAATAGGGCTAGAATATCAGATGTCAAAATGGCAGCGTGCTTGCCTCTTTCGGTAAAGACACACCGGCTTCCCCTCTGTTCCTTCCACTTCTTTGAATCATCTACTCCTTTTACTAACATGAATCGAATCATCAAAGGGAACAACACTTAAAACACCATGGTCCTCTCTGTTCGGCACGAACGTTATCTTGTCCTTTAGCGCTTCCGGGATGAAAGTGGCGTCGACCACGATAGAATGTTTGTTCTTGATGAAGAGATCAAGCACGGTGTATAGAATGCCAAAGGTAGACAATTTCTTTTGCTCAACGTTATAGACATTCGCGGGCTTCTCAATTTCAGCGCCAGGTCCGACCATAGCAATACCGTAGACGATGATCTTATCTTTCATCGGATACTTGTAATCGGTCAACTAATTTCCCGTCGAACGCGCCACCTCACCGAGTATGTAAGACCCACGGAACACTGGGTACCAGCGGATGCCCTTCTCTCCAGCCAGATGGTCGGACCGCGAGGTATGCGCTTGGGGTGTATGTTACCCTTTTTTATTGGAGTCACTAGCCCACCTTTGGCCTCGTGTAGTAGCAGGGATACTGGTATCATGTAAGATGACATAAAGAAATCTACGAGTCGGACAGGTGCGCGCAGGATGGGGGCTCATTCCATCGCGAGATGCCCCCTTCGATCGGCCAACACGCTTGGACGAATGGCTACTGGTACGACAGAATGGCCCCCGCTGGACATGCTACCAAGCTGCCGCGTTCGCTCAGGTCCCGAGCGTTCAACGACTTCTAAGCGGTGGATATAGGTTTAAGAAAGATGCAAAAGATGGAAATCATGATTCCCGAGCTGCGAAGACCGCCTCTGGCGTGGGGACCGGAGCGAACGCGACAAAAGTCATGTATCTCTGAAACAGTGGAAAATGGGCATTCCTCCCATCCTCTGAGTGAGGTCAATCTGGCGCGAAGACTCAGGCACCCGATCATGGCGTGGCTGTCCGTTGGTCTACACGTCGAAAGTTGGGGAAGTTGGGAACGCCATAAATCAAACCAAGGATTCTGGTTCCAGCTCCTACGGTCTACTAAACAGACGATAGGGGACAGATATAGAGGATACTCATTCACACTGGCTCTGGTCAGTTCAATTCCTCAAATTAGGACCTGCCTCAGACCTGTCACCATAAGATCCGAGTCTACATCAACCACTCGCAGTGGTTCTACCCGGGTGAAGCCTATAGATGATGTGCTAGGCTGCTAGGTATAGAACTCTGGTCTTTCACTAGATGACCGGGGAGTGGCTCGTTTGCAGTAATTGGAGTTTTTACATTTAGAGCGACTAGGAGGGGTTCTGACAGCCTCATCCCCTGTTTTTGGGTTGATTATCGACTCCGACCAGTTACGTGAAACTAGACCTATTCTCACTAGGAGACATCGAATTTGGATTACCTGTTATACTTCTATTACGCAGTAATAACATGCAGTCGTCTACCAAGCAGAGCTTGGCTATTCTCGCATAATGTCCTGTCAGACTTCTACTATAAATATCCGGCACAAGGTGTCTCAAATCAACTATATATGTAAGCCTATTTAGCTACACAGAGCGCTCTTTGGTCCTAGCATACTTACAGAAATAGGTTAATACAAAATAGGGAGAATATACTGTTTAATCTCCCCCAGTCGCCTGCGCGTCTGGTACAACAATAATTGGAGTGAACCTGCCAATATACTACTAAGCTATATGCGTAACCTTTTGACATGGTAACACTGGCTGATAAAATCGGACTAGAAGGTCTCGTTGGTGGAATACAAGCAACCTTCTTAGGTTATGTCATAATGGTGATCTGTCTAACATATCAAGCCAAATAGATATACCATTGAGTCTCTTGTTTCCCTTTGCATAGGAATGTCAATTGAGAGGTGACTTGGAAGGGTTCGTCTCCGAAGTACAATGCCGATGGTCTATAGACATGCAACATCTTGTCTATTGATCATAGTAGGTCTACAGCAATAGAAATCTAAGATGATGCGCGCTAGCTTGCCAATCTCTCGAAATTCAATACATGATATATGACATACAATAGAGATAAATGAGGTCGACGCTTATCTCAGCCGAGTCAAAGCCGGAGGGTTCCGCTTCCGATCTTATCGGCGACGCATCCGAAAAGTGCACGTCGCAAAGCCGGTCCACCTTTCGGAATCCCCTCTGCGGGGTTCGTCCCTCTGCCCTTATCCTGGCCCATAATTCGCCTCTCCAGCAAGCATAATGGTTTCCTGCGCCAATTCACCTACCGATTGGTCCACACCTGCGCGTTCACAGCTGTGCAGTTACTCACAGCCGTGCGTTCACCACTGCACCTTCACCCGACGGACCAAACATCGGAATATTCCCGGCGCAATATTCACTGCCATTGAAGTAGGCCCCAGCCGTGCCGAAAATCTTGCCTATTAAAAGGCAAGGTTCACCTCAAACTATTCCTTGAAACTGACAGCCGTGTGGGATCCCGCGCTAACAATTTGCTTTTGCAGTTGAGGAAGAATCGTTGTTGCACACACATCTACTCACGAAGCTCCACCTAGTACTGACTGACATCATGGCGGGATCTTCCGCAGTGGACTATTCACCAGTTCGCGAAGCTGGGCGCATCTTTTCTTATCTCTGTGATCAAGCTGAGCAGCTCGATTTACCTAAAGAAGTGATCGAGGGCAAGGATGCCGTTTCTTTCTCTTCAACACATGACGAAGTTTATTTTCCAATTCCTTTTAAGGAAACCGAGACGCTTGCTGCCCTTAAGGGTGTTGAGGGTTCCGTAGCCGGTGCTATTGCAGACCTCCGCTATGGACCTTCTGAACACAAGCGCAATGTCAACATAAGTCTTGAACGGGCGACTGCGTTCGGCTGCCAGGCTTATATGGCTAAGGTCGACGGGCTGTCCAAGTTGGACCCCGAGGTGAAGAAGAAGCTCAAGGGTAAGCTGCCCATTTCAAGCACATTCAACCCAAGCTAACAGACGTAGATACCGACTTGCTTGCAGCCCAATCCAATGGCTACCGCCGGATGTCGGCGAACCTCTACAAGACCAAGAACGACAACGAATACTTCCACATCCATGGCTCGTTGGAGGCCACCACAACGCTCAACATGATTGGCCTGGAAGGGCAGCGTCCCGACCTGACAGACTACGAGGAGATCATCAAGGTCATTGAGAGCCACGTGCAGAAGTACAGCGCCGCGGAGCTGGAGGAGATGAACAGAGAAAGACGACAGGCGGGTGTGACCGCATTCAAATATGACGATTTCAAGAAGACCCCACATGTATGATCCCTGCCATATACCCACCAAGCAACGCTGACAAGCTACTAGGGAGCACTCAACGTCCAACAACCTCCGTGGACAGTCAGCCGTCTGAATGGAGACTTGCCGCCGAACCCCTTCCCAGCCAGCCGCAACGGCAGCAAGAGAGTTCTCGAAGGTGTCAAGGTTCTGGAGTTGTGCCGCATCATTGCCGGCCCTACTGTTGCACGCATCCTGGCCGAATACGGCGCGGACGTTCTCAAGATCACCAGCCCCAACCTCTCCGATGTCCCTTTCTTCCAGGTTGACGGCAACATGGGCAAGCATGCCGCCGACCTGGACCTCAAGAGCGAAGCGGGTCGCCGCCAATTTGAGGAGCTCGTAGCCGATGCCGATGTTGTTGTGGACGGGTACCGCCCTGGTGCGCTTGAGAAGCTGGGCTATGGCCCCAATGCTCTTGCTGCTTTGGCTGAGAAGCGCGGCAAGGGCATTGTGTACGTTAACGAGAATTGTTTTGGTTATGAAGGAGAGTGGGCCGGCCGTCCTGGCTGGCAGCAGATTGCCGACTGCGTAAGTGCTGCCTCCAATTAAACACTATTATAAATCACTAACATGCAACAGGTCACCGGTATCGCCTGGGCTCAAGGTCAATTCATGGGCCTCTCCAACCCCGTCGTCCCCCCATTCCCCATCTCCGACTACGGCACTGGCTGCATGGGCGCCATCGCCGCCCTGACTGGTCTCTACAACCGCGCCAAATACGGCGGTTCGTACCACGGCAAGGCGTCTCTCATGCACTACGACCTGCTGCTCTTTGCCGTGGGCCAGTACTCAGACGCCATCCAGGAGAAGATGCGCGCCGCGCAGCCCGCAGAGTTCTTCAAGCTTCGTCATTGTGACAGCGTTGATCGCATTTCATCGACCGTTCTTAAGATAATGCAGGCACGTTTCCCTCACCTCTACCGCGCTCCTGAGGAGGCGGGCGCAGAGGCCCTTACGGAGAAATGGTTCTCCAAGGCGTACAATGCGGACATTGAGATCGTTCGCCCAATTGCAGAGATCGAGGGTGTCGATAACTCGTTTGTTCGGTCCAGTCGCCCCAACGGTACTGATGCAGCGAGCTGGGAGGACTTTGAGAAGGATGTTGATAGCCGGAAGGCGTAGACCTACGTACATAGGACCATTTATGACAAATACTACCAGTAATGAACATCACCACAAAGCATGCACAGTAAAATAACTATACTACGTAGAAATAAAGCAAAGACTAGCCAAATACCCCCCCAACTCTTACGCAAGCAAAACAGCCCTCCCCTCAGCCAAGTCGGATAAGAATACAATCACCATACGGATCGGATCCGATAACCATCGCCGCCATCCATCCATTTATCGGAAGTCCCTCCATCGGCCCGACAGATCTTGTTCTCCCCTCACTAAGTTACTACTTACATCACCGATCTATGCAAGCATCCCAATTGCCTTCTATTAAAATAAAACTATACCCCTCACAACTACCCCTACACTACCCAATTCACAACACCCACCCCCCAAACCCAAGAATAATTAGACATACTATACATCAAAAATGAGCTACACAATCACCACCCCCCCATCCACCCTCCTCCCCCCCACCAGCGCCGCCATGATCTCCTTCCTGGAGAACTTCTACCGCATCAGCGACACCGAATCCCTGCACAATGAATACGTGACGAATTTCACCGAAGATGCGACGCTCATTATGGGCTCGAAGGTTGCGAAGGGGTTGGATGGTATGCTTTCCCCAATTCCCATTTCTTCATGCAATCAATTACACCTACTATCAATGAATCCGAACCATAACTCTGACTTACACTAACAAATATTGATAATACAGAAATCCTCACCCTCCGCCACGGCCTCTGGACCCACGTCGCGCGCCGCAAACATACCCCCGAACGGGTGTATTTCGGCGCGGAGCGAGAACTCATGCTGTATGGAACGGTGAGGTATGTGCTGAGGAAGGATGTGGAGGCTGGAAAGCCTGATGAGGAGGTGGAGGTGCCTTGGGCTGGGAGGGTCGTGTTTGATGAGAAGGTTGAGAAAATGCGGTTTTATCAGGTTTATTTGGTATGTATCCCCCCCTCTTCCCCCGGTTTTTTTCTTGGTTGGTGGTGGTTTGGGGATGTTGGCTAATTGATTGGTGATGTGTTTAGGATCCGACGGCGCAGGGTGGGAAGAAGTAGGTGCTTTGTTGGGATTGAGGAGTAGGTTGTGGGGTTTAGAAGGGGAGGGTATCAAGTGTTGGATAGATGTAGTTGGTGGATGGGGATTGATTGCATGGTGATGGTGTATATAGTTGGTTCTTGTATATGGTTGTATGCATTACATTGTTCTTATGCTGCGGTTCTCGTTGATGGGCTTGCGTATATGCTCAAATACCTATGTCTCTGGTGGCTGGCTTCTAGACGGGCTCTATACATCTATCGGGAGAGGAAATCTAGGCAAAAATTCTACACCATGTATAAATTGTCCTTTATGCCCGCAGGAACAACCAATTGATCGATAAAAAAAAGAGAAAAGGTAGTAGTAGTAGTCAAGTCATCCTCTCCCTGTCGTAGCCACTCATTCGTCCCAATATTCCATTTCCCCATCTAACCCAACACACCCCCCCTGGGTGGCCCCCATCCAAACCCGCGCGGGATTTGGTGTCAGAAGACAAACGGGGAGTTTTTATAACAAAAACACAGCAAAGAAGCTAAAGCCTAGCTCAGCTTCAATAGGGAGTTTGCCAGGTGTAGGTAGAGAAGACAGAAGGTAAGGGGTTCGGAGAAAAAGAGTAACATCAGGACTTTTTCATTATTTTAGCTCGAGCATCCGGAGAGACTAATTTACTCCTCGTCCTCCTCCTCGTCAACGGTGGTCTTGGCGATACGGTCAAGATCACGCTGGCCGCTCTGGGTGATGCGACGGCCACCCTTCTCCTCATCGTGCTCGAGGACACCGATCTTCTCGAGGGACTGCATGACCTTACGGTCGACGGAGCCGGAGGCATCGACGTGGTGGGCGGGGCGGGAGCCGCGGTTCTTGGTGGAACCGTGGACCTTGCGGAGACGGCCAACACCGACGGTCTTGCGCATGTAGATGTGGCGAGCGACGGCGGCGGCGCGGATGTAGTACCTATTTGCAAGTATTCGTTAATCACGCTGGCTCTTTTTTTCTTCGAGATGTTTGAGTTAATGGCAGTTGTCGTACCAGTCGGCATCCTGGGGAGGGAGCTCGTTGGAGGCGGAGGTCTTGACAGTGTCAACCCATCCTATTTAACCGTATTAGTCTTTTGATCTGATTGTTGCGATTGTTCGAATGAATTCCGTGTGCACGAACCAGGAATGGGGAGCTTTCCCTGACGCTTCAGGAAAGCAGAGTAAGCAGCGATGAACTTCTGCGCCTATAGCCATGGAAAAGAATCCTGTTAGCCGTTCCGTCCACAAAACATCCTATATCGTAGATTGTCTGGCAGGTGCGCATTCAGGCATGGCATGGCATGGCATATAACATGGCACGGCACGTATCGGCAAATCTGGACATATCCTGCAAGTAGCGGCGGCAGTAGTCCCAGTTCGTTCCTGACTCCATAACATCCATTTCATCCAGAATTCCCATATTCCACAATATATGGCTGGAGTATACAATCGCGTAGTCGTGCAAGCATTGCATATTCCCCAATCGATACCCAAAACTCATCCCATCTGATACTCAGAGAGTATATGTACCCAGCCTTGCTTGATGCGCCCAAATTCGATCCCAGATAGATATATATGATTGTCGTTTGCTCCGTCGAATGCCGATACCAGATAAAATCTCATTTTTTTGTCGGTTTGTCCTGATCGTGCCGTGCCATATTGTGCCATGCCATGCCATCCATCCATTCCGCACCGACCAACCCAATCTCGAATCTTGACATGACATGACTTACGTCGACATCGCGAACGGTGACACCACCCATTTTTGCGACTTGTTGAACCTCGAACGGGGAATCGAAGAGAGGGACGAGGGAGGCGTGGAGGGGGATGGGTCGGTCGTTGTCGTCGTTGAAGGGGAGTCGGGGTCAGAAAGCCTCGAAATTTCGGATTCGCACACAACTTTGCGCGAGTAGTGCTTCTCGGTTGGCTGTGGGCGCTTCGCTTAGCCTCTTTGGGTTAGCCGTACCCTAAGTTGGTGCCTGGGGCAGATGGTGCTGGGCGGTGAGTTTTTTATGGGTCATGTGACTGGGGTCGTGCGTTCAGGCATGAATTATATTGATGCCTTAGTTTAAAATCATGTAGATCCGTGATTAGTGAGCAATTACTACTAACTAGATAAGGAGCATGTTCAACATACGTATTTCTCTATTTCATCTCCATCCCTACTGTACAGTCTATGGTATAATTATCGTAATTCATAAAGCGAAAACCCATTATCCTCCATTACGAGAAGAGAAGAAAAAAAAGTAACCCGAAATATCCCAGCCAACGCCTGCCTTCCTGCCAAACCTAACTCATTCTTCCTACAGCGTTGGCGCCCGCTTCAGGCCAACGCAGTATCGCACAAATAGGGTATCAATAAAGTGTTCGTGACGAATGCCTGGTGGACGTCGCCGTTCGAACTCCTCGATCGCTTCCGGCACACTGAATCCGCGCCGTTCGATCAGGTATGAGACAATCAAGAATCCCGTGCGATTGAATCCGTAATGACAGTGGACTCCCACCACTGGACGTGGACCCTCGGGATTGCCGGACTTCTCCATCTTCTCAGTGATTTCATTCTGTAGTCGGTCTACTAGTGCGATGAAGTCGCGAACCTCGTCTGGAGTAGGGGGGATCTTTGACACCGTGGGATGCTTGTGGTAGTGGATGCCGCCTTTCTCCATGGACGCGGGATTGTACACCGGATTCTCGTAGCTGATATCTATCACAGCGTAGATCTTGTCGCGGTAAGCTTGAGAGAACAGCACAGGGTTGTGTTCTTCGTCCACCTCCCGGAGCATCTTGAGCGCCGCAAAGGTGTCAGCAATTCTTTCTGATACTGGAGCAACCTTCTTCCACTTCGCCAGGTTCTTCACGTCCCACTTTCCTGACGTATTGAGATATTGCAGCTGCCAACCCATGCTGAGGCGGTTATCGATGTGCTGGCTGAGAAAGTCTTGGATGATTCCGGCAAGAGTGCGGTACGTCGCACGGTCGTAGATCAAAGCATGAGACGCCGGAGCAGGCAAGATAACAGTCTTGACCGACCGCCGAGATCCCGGCTGATCAGACTCACTCGTGATCTCCTTCTCTTCAATCTGTGGCTCCACCCCGAATTCCTCTTCGTGTGCCCGCCGATCATACGATGCCGGCATCTTATCGTGAATTGCGGATGCATCGGGAATGGAGCTCACTCCATCCGCGTCGTCATCCACGCTGCACCCTGCTCGGGCAAAGAACTCTAGGATCTTCTTTAGCTCTGCAGGTTTGTTCACCGCATCCGCTTCACCAGCCACTAGGAGAACGGGCGTGCGCACGCCTGCCCATACATCTTCGCCCGGGATGCCTCCGACGGCCTTGCCATTACTGTCATACGACGGCAGTGTTCCCCATGCCATCCGTCTCCACACGGCCGTCTTGCTCTGCTTGTTATAGCGGACTTGGAGGCCTCTGGTATCGGGATCTGCTGCTGCGCCGACAAGCCTGTTCACGCTGGTGCTGTGTAAACCGCCCCGCCGATCCCAGTAGCGCCAGAGGTCGAAGATTGGGCTGGGTACATGAAGAAGCCGGCGAAATTTGGCAACATCATGTGGGGGTGGGGGTGCAGCGCGAGGGCAGACGGCAATGAGACCAAGAATATGTTCTTTCAAACCAGCGCCTATCGAAGACGTGGAGGATGCTAATAGAGCAGACAGCGAACAGCCCAGACTATGAGAGATTAGAACCACTTCTTGGCCTGCTTCCTTGTCCCGGTGCTGCTCAATGGCTGTAGCAAGCAACTCTGCCAGCGCTTCCACAGTATACGCGTCCCAAGAAGTGGGCGAAAAAGACGACAAGCCGCACCCAGGGAGATCGATCCCAAAGCAAGGCCCGACATTGGAAAGACTCGTAAGCAGATGATTAAATTGCGCAAGAGATCCACCCAAGCCATGCACAAAGACCAACAACGGAATCGGCGAGGGCTTAGTGGGCAATTTGTCCTTTTGAGGATGCGGACGGAAGAACGTTCTGATAGAAGGATATGTCGCCGTAGATGTTGTGTATGACAGGTATGATGAGTGCTTCTTCAGGAGGCCTGGGTCTGTATCATGGGCTTGTCTATGTCAGTATCCAAAATTGAAACACTGAGAGAGTACCAACCATTCTCGCTCTGCTTTTGTTGAGGCACTTCCGTCTTCTCCGCAACAGTGCCTTCAGTGCCATGGCGTAGAGATCCCGTGCTATCATAGTCTTCCTCATCTGAAGAAGTGACCATTCCTTCAGAGCGCTTGGATAAGCCTTTGCGCGTTCGACGAAAACGTGCCTTTCCTGAGACTTGTCCCCAGGCCTTGCGCCGCAGGACGGAAGAAATGACTCCGCAACCCAGCATAGTGATGAAACAAGTAGTCAGGAAAACGACCTTTCCCCAATTCACCGTGCCATCGTAGCTATATGCTTGACAAAGACGGGCGAGTGAAGCAAAAGCACCAGAATTGGTGAAGGCAGTGTAAGTCGAGTCCCAAAGGCGTAGAGAAGCACCAAAATCCACAAGACCGGACCGAGAGGTGGTAGGGGAGGTTAAAGGGACATCTGTCGACCCCATCCCCGGCGGTGACGAAGACAAGGTTGGGGATATTTATAAGACTACCGACTGGTCCAGGCGCGAAGCTGCGTCGCCCCTAAACAGGAACCTTATTACCGCTCACCGATCGCCCACGCCTTAACACCTAGTGTCAGGGATCCCTCCGTTTAGGGACCAACGATCGGGAGCGAAGAGGATCCTTTCTGGAATGCGAGTCGAAGTTCACACGAGCCGAGAGAACGGCACCTCTTTGGCGGGCCAGGAGAGTCTCCGGGATCGATAGTGAGGCAACGGAGCGGGTCGATCGAAACACTCAGCAGCCGGCAAGCCCAACGATAGCGCGCTATGAGGCAACGAGTCTGGAGTAGACTAATTTGAGGTAAGGAGAGCTTGTTCTTAGGCACGACTTTAACTGCGCCCCGGGATGGTTTGGACCAATGAATGCTGCGTATCCGTCACGTTGGTCTGCTGGCTGCGCCTAGGCGTTCCGGACAATCTGACAGCTCCACCAGGTCTTTATCTGAACCAAAGCAAGGAGGACGACGGCCCAATTTGTTTTAAGGACTGTTCCCAACCGAAAGACGACGATATCTCAATTGTTGGTTGACCCAAGTAACCTCCGGGTCACATGGAGCGTTTTGCGCGGAGATTCCAGTCGGCGGGAGAGTGATGCGGAGGATGATGCGCCTGACGTCGCAAAAGAACTGTGAGGCAGGTCAGCTATGATACCAAAGCCACCCAAAAGCCAGTCGTACAGGGGACTCATGAGAGTACAGCGTCAACTTCAGAGTAAATGGTGGGCGGAGTTTGGCAGCGGTGGGCACACTCATACCTAGCTTTGTGCAGCACCAGCAATAGAAAATCGCAACCACACTTTGCGACTGAGGAACGCAAACCTTAACTGGAGTAACTGCAGGCGGGCTGGATCGCGGAGCGGAATCCGGAAGAGAAGCAGAAATGGTGGCGGATAACGACAGGGAGCGGCGACAAAACAACAGGCCTGTCAGAGGGTCGGAGGCAAGACCGTGGAGGATCTGCGATACTTTGGTTTGTCGCAAATTTGCCGGCGGTGATTCACATCCACTCATGGCGTCACGCTGCAGCTTCCTGGATGACTCATCCCTCGCTAGTCCCTTTGGGGTCTTTCGGATGCCGGAGTTCTCGCCGCTCCAAACACGAGACCATCTTCTATAGATTTAATAGGAAACTTGTATAATAGATGAATATGATCCTAGAAGGTCAGAGAATTACTACCAACTGTCCTTTGTTGTCATTCTGTATTTTGATTCCTGATGTGTACATAGTATCACACTATTCCAGAGTACTACCAGGACAGGACAGCTGCGTCATTGGAGACAGTCTCCACAGCCAAGTTGGGTTGTAGTATGGATACATCTTGGAATAAACAACCAATTTTATTGAGAAACTGGGAACTGAGCCAAATTCATACCAATCCACCTAAAATAGATCCGTCATGGCACCGTTCGAGGCATCTCCCACCAACCGGGCATATTTGGCCAGCACACCTCGTGTGACATGCGGTGCTGGGGGCTTCCACTCCCGCAGACGCTGCTGCACCTCCTCATCCGATACATCCATAGTGATGGCATTTGATTCGGCATCAATAGTGATCACATCGCCGTCCCGAACAACGGCAATGGGCCCTCCTACGGCAGCTTCAGGGACAATATGCCCCACAATGAATCCGTGACTAGCGCCAGAGTATCGACCGTCCGTAATCAGTGCCACGTTGGTGAGCTTGGCTCCCATGAGCGCTGCACTAGCCTTGAGCTGTTCCGGCATTCCCGGGCCACCCTTAGGGCCCTCGTAACGAACAACAATGACCAGGTTCTCGCCGTGAGGGATCTTGCCCTGGTTCAGGGCCTCGTTGAGCTGATGCTCCTTGTCGAACACGCGCGCCTTACCCGTGAACCGGAGCCCTTCCTTGCCGGTAATCTTAGCAACCGCACCGCCGGGTGCAAGGTTACCTCGCAGGATCTGAAGGTGGCCCGTCGCCTTGATAGGGTTGTCCAGGGGGCGGATGATGACCTGGTCAGCAGACAACGATGGGTGTGATGCTACGTTCTGTGCCAGAGTCTTGCCGGTCACAGTGGGAATGTCGCCATCAAGCAGACCAGCTGCGATCAACAACTTCTGGACCGACGGGATGCCTCCGACTTCGTAGAGGTCTGCCATGTAGTACTTTCCACTAGGGGACAG